AAACCCTGGTCTCGTACTTTACCATGCAATTCTATCAAAGGTAATATTATCTATTATTGAGATCTGTACACCTACCTTCCAGTCAGCATTGCTGTAATTTTGGCAACTGGCTTAGCAATCAGCCAGGCAAATAGAGGGGGAACGTTACATCTTGATGTTGTATGGAAACGGTTGCGAAGTTGTCTTCCCAGGGTTCTTACAGCTTCAATATTAAGAGATCTATTGCATCTTGGGAAAGCATCATTAAGTAACCCTGAGTTATGGCCATGGCAGCCACTGGAGGAAAAAGTTCTCTTTAGACGTACTGGAATTGTACGTATTTCTCTGTTGAGAGACTTTGCTGTATGCTGCAGGACTGTTTTCTGGGCACAACATTTGGTAACTTGGTACAGCGATGTAAACATTGTTCAGCTCAATGAAATAAGTTATTCACAAAATAAATTGAATGTTGCAGTGACATCTGTTATATATTTGATCAAAAACCACTGTCATCCTACAGTATACTACAACTAATAGCTATTAATTACTTCCGTTTTTTGTACAGAGAGCTACGCCACAATCCCTCAAACGTTGCCAACACGAGGAGACAATGGCTTTTCTCCAACGTTTTCCCCCACGTTATGTTTTGTCGTCTACTGATTCCCTGTTCCAGCTCGTCTTTGAGAAATTGGTTAACTGGTGAAATCGACCCAAGCTCAAAGTGACTGCAGTTGGAAGCTGACAAACGCCGAATGGTTAATTGTGTCTCCACAGCAGAAACGCATTACAAAATTCTGTACTACTGACCACTTGTAATACTGGCAATAAGACAATCAATCGTGGCGACAATGTAAGTACTGGAATCCACACACATTTTCCAATTTCATAATCATTTTCAACCGGTGTTTTGTCGATATCGTTTGACGACTGCCATTTTGAAGTGCGCCATCGTTCGAATAGCACGTAAAAACAAAATGAATTAACTATTTTATCGCATGGGGGCAGTCTTTGTAAATAATCACACTTCATCGCTACATTGTGTTTTAGTGTAGCATAGCAGTTAAAATTTGACTGGGGTTGACACACAAAAGCCAAACTCAATCTGCCACCAGGACTTGCGAATTATTGCATAAGGAGATATATATAGTAAAAGAATTTCATTCTATAAGTTAATTGATTTACAGAAACAAGAATAGAGAAACACTATCATGACAAAATCTAAACTTTGGTTCTATATAGAATGTCAAATCTGCATTCCTAATAGCAGCCGCACCCAGTTTTTCTGAACTATTGTGAACCAAAGATGTACCATTTCTCATATGTGTAGATGCTCTAATAGAAGCAGCATCCATTCTGTTGCATCATTCCATTCTAACAGAATTTGCAGCATCTAATATAAATTTTACAGTAATTATTGAAAAAGGTAAATTAGACAGCAACATCTGTCTAGCAATTTTAATATGTTTGTTTTCAGAACCTCATAGTGATCTCAGAAACAACAGGATATTTGTCATGTGGGTCCCACACCTTGATATGAAGGTGTATACACGTTGCTAGTTACAAGTCCCCTGGTTTAGCCGGAACTTCTGGAATGGGGGACTTTTTTGAGCAAAATTGTCTGGAAAAGGGGTCTACAATTTATGTATTCCCAATTGAAATTATAATTTTTAAAAATTGTTGTTCAAGTAATTCTGGCAGAAAAATGTTGCACATCATACGTAATCAAAAAACAACCATGGAGGAGATACATATTTTTCTGAAATGCCTAAATAGCATTTTGGTCTGGAAACACTGGTAGCTTTTTTCAGTCTGCATTAATTTGACTAAACAGTTTAATTATTGTAGCCACTAAGAATTACTTTAGATCTAAGAACACAACAATTCAAAGAGATGTTCATTGTTTTGAAAGTTCTCCACTTGTACATTGTAAAACTTTCTTTACAAATTGCTATTGCAGCCAGCTGTGGTGTACTTACTAAAAATGCTTCTTTACTGACGTTGAAGTATCATTTCATGGAATGCTTGGTTACACTGGGGATTGCAGTCAGTCTTTGTGGGAACATGTAAGCACTTTAGTTACAAGACTCATCAAGAAATATTATACAGATGTGTACCGATAACTTCAGTGGGCATGTTTGTTTCTCTACCAAACTACCATATTTTCTCCATTAGTAGCATATACAAACGTGTGTATATGATTTAAAATTAAGGAATGGTCCACTTCACAATAAAAATAATAAATCGCATTTATTATATGCAGAATCATTAAAATACAATTCATTTTGAAGATAAAATATGCATAGAATACTCCTACATGCACAAGATTCTAATAATGTTTGATTTTTTGTTGAACATGTCATTGGACATTTTTATTCTTAAATTGTTATAAAATTTTTTATTTTTTTAAAAATTCAGACACACCATTTGTTTTGTGTATGCCTTTTAGAATCCTTGATCTGAATAAACAATTATTGGCATCGAAATGTAAGTCTGGTGCCTTCATACTTTAGGACCTACTAGTAATAAAAATCTATTCAAATGAATCTTATTTTGCTACCAGTAGTATTGATAAATTATCTGCGTTTCGTAGATTAGCAGATTATTGCTATCTATTCGTATGTAAATTATTCAGGTGCCATTGCACCTGCTCCGATTGGTTAGTGGCTAAGTAGCCAGGTGCTCATGAGTATATAGTAAGAAGAGTATTCTATTGTATTTTTTATCTGTATTTTTATAAATGTATAGTATTAATATGGATGACGCCCGACGTCTACCCCTAGGTACATCTGACATTGCGTCGGGTACAGGTTTCCAGATGTTTTTCTCCCTTGACGGGTTTTTATATCTGTTTTTTCCTGGGCGGTCGATGTATTCGCAATGGGGCTTTGACATCAATTTCATGTATATTTACATATGTAAGGGGGATAAATAAACGTAATAAACGCGTGTGGCTTCTGGGTGCTGCAACCACCGCATACCGCATTTCATGCTTGTTGTGTAATTTGTATGAATAGTTGAAGTTAAGTATAGATTGCAATATAAGCTCACTGTTTTGCCAACAAAGTAACAATATTGATATCAGCTTATCATTACAAACTGTTACATTTGAACTATCAATATTGCTACTTTGTTTGCAAAACATTGAGCTACATTGCAATACACAGCTGCTTGGGTTTCTTTTTCATTCACAGTAAAAATTGTCTCTGTTCAACAAAATCTACAGAGTTTCTAATAGTCAACCTGTAGCCTAAAAACATGGCGCAGATGTACTGTACCTTGCAATCACCTTCCAGTCCTGATTTAAAAAAATTCAAACATGTAAGGTTAGTTTATATATGGGTGATCTCGTATTTTCATATGCATGCTTTCAGAGGCGTGGGTCAAATAATGAGTTTGAGACTGATGATGCAAGACATATTTTTATTTTCAATATGTATAATATTTACAATACTTATTTCAAAAAAATCTGCAAACAATATTGACAGAATTATCTTGCAAAAACAAGTTGTACATGGTAGAACAAAACAAATGGTAGGATGTTTTGGTTGATTGTTTGTAAAGACAAATGTCTTTGCTGCTTAGGAATACAAAATTCAAATTATAACTTGCACAACTTTTATAGTAGTGTATTCACCCTGTGTCATTTAGGGACCATGTTACGCAGACATGCATCACTACAAATAAATACAATATAAGCCATTGTCTGATAAAGAGTAGATTGCATTAATTGGTTTGGTAAGATTTAAACTTTACACTAATGTTGTTTTTTAATGTGAACAACCATTGTATCCCTTCACTGTAAAAAATACCCATACAATAAATCCAGACTGCTGTAATTTGCATACACATAATTTCTTATGTGCCAGAAAGTTACAGAACATTGGATTCTTTGCATAGGCAGTGACAGTGACCGCAATTCAGACCAGGGAATGCCAACAAGGTCTGTCAGCACATTTCCCTAAAATTTTGATTGTTGTCAATATTTGGTATCTGCAGTCCTTCGAGCCTCTGTTGAATTTTGATAATCTGCAATTTTATTATTTATAACATCAGATTTATATTTTAAGTTATTTGTAATGCATCTTTGATACATGAAATACTATCATTTTGAGTAGACATTACACAACATTGACAATGGGTGTATAAACAAATACTTTTCAACTAAATACCTTTGGACAATAGTTTAAAAAATACAGCAATTAATATATACATATAAAACAAACAAAAAAACTTATATAAAACATATTTATACATACATAGCGCCCTCTGTAGCCCATGTTTTAACATTTATTTTCACAACAGACTACAGAGGGCGCCATAAGTTGACTATTTACAAGTTCTACATTCCTTGGTGACCAGCCAGACTGTGGTATCACTTTCTTTCTTGAAACTGAGCCTCCAGCAGCAAGGAATGTACACAATTTGCATAGACTATGAATAATAACTCATGAAAAATATATTTATTTACTGGAATAGAAATCAGCAGCCAACTATGAAAACCTTACTCATTGTTGACAAATTTCACCCAGCTACAACAATAGCCCTTGATTCAATGACTTGTTTGAGCGTGCCTTTTTCATTTACATGCTACCCCTCAGCCATAGGTCACTTTGTGCAATAATACCGAAATCATTGTTTTGACTCTAAAAATCAGTTTAGTTAAGACCCCAGAGACCTACCTAATATACAGTTGCTATGGTTACAAATGCACAAGGTTTGAAAATCTATAATAGTGTGAGCATAAATCCATAATAATCATGACTTCATCATGCAGATGTGGTTATTTGTGAATTTGATCGAATAGTGATCATGGCATTGCAACCAAAGAAGCATGTGAACATAAATGATGCTGAGGAAGTTCCTATTGTTGCCAGAATGCAAAGGTAAGAAAAATCTCAAAACCAAAGTCATCAGACCCAGGGCTACCATGACTATAAGATGCAATTTCGAAACTTTTTGTCCACAGATGTTATATCAATGTAAACCTGAGTGCATTGATATTTATGAAATATAAGCAGTCAAGTAAATGAATTCATATGTAGAGTAGATTTCCAATGTAGAGACTCAATATAACTTGAGTGGAGTGAAAATATGACAATACACAGTATAGCATGGCAATGTATTGTTGGTAATTGATGAGAATCTAAATAATCACCACTACATGGGTCCTGAAAGTGTCTTGATATTTCACCTGCAGCAGTTAACTGTTGATTGTACATGGCAGTATTATCGACAACTATTATCTCTTTTCTCGGTGCTGTAACCTAAAGTGTATTGTAGAATCACTATCGCTCCCTTTTTGCCAACTGTAGTTACGACCATTTCCATCCATTGACATGCTTGACTGATGTGATCCTCTAAAGTTTTCTTGTGACTGTCTGTGTTTTTTGGATTTAGGGATCTTCTCTTGCCCCTGAAATAAATGTTAGACTAAACTGATGAGCAAATTGTAAAGTCAACTTTAAACTTCAAAAATAGTATTAAAGTTGTATTCTGAGAGCATTCAACAAGCTGTGTTGGATCTTGTTTGGACTATTATGGGGATGTGTTTTATGGGAAATATTTGAAAATTTGCTTGGATTTGCTGTTTTTTTTGAATTATTGCTAACAAAGATAATTTTGGTCAATCCATGTTGAAACACAATTCAAAAGTGCTAGCAATAGTGAGTGCTTTCACCCAGCATCCGGATTTGATTCCCAGAGGCAGCAGCTCATTTAATACAGTCTGCCCTGCCTTCAAAATACATGGTTAGGAGACTTGCAATTTGCATAAAAAAAACATCAGATGTAACAATAATATTTATTGACAAAACACTGCAGTCAGGAGTGTCAGTCAGTCAGTAGAGACAGCAGCGCCTGGTTTAAAAATATTCGAAAAAAAAAAAAAAATTTGAACATTCAATCAAATGGGAAACTGAGGCGATTGCCAACATTGAGACAGTCAATAATAGTCACAAGAAAAAACAGCTTTTATGAATTAAGATTATGTATACCAACAGACAGTCTACTTGTAAGAATTGTTTACAGTCACAAAACAGCTGACTATACAATACAGAATCAGATCCCCACTCAAAAAAAAAACCTGCATATCAATACTCCAACAGTGGTGTACTCTTTTGAGCTTGGTAGTTTTGAGAATACATTAAACAACTTTTGTACACAACATTACAATTTTGATTTAATTGGTTTTCAACTATCTTAAAGTTATTGTTTACATTACAACAGACACACACAGCAAAGAACCAATCCAAATACAGTTATTGTTATGATGGGAGAGTTATGTGTACATGAGGAGGGAGGGGACACAGCAAACCAAGGTATACACACAGTAAGATATGGTAAAAAAATATGGTATTTACAAGATGATTATCAGTTGTATTGATTTAAACTTTCACACCTTTTTTCACCATTGCTCCTACAAAAATGTAGTCCTTGTACATCAAACCAAAAATTGAAAATAAAACTTTTTTTTTGGCGTGAGATGGTGAGCTGAAGATGAGGCCAATTTGTCTGCAAACTAGACCCCCAGTGAAAGTATGTGTGAATGAGTTACAACACAATGACATATGGGTGTATAGTGCAATACAGGTATTTATGAAACGTACAGTGGACAGTGGGCCAGCTCAGCGTTCAGTTAACTTATTAGAACCAAGAGTTTTGATGACATCAAATTATTATAAGCATGCTTCTATAGCAATAGAGGAACAAAGATTCTTCAACATGACTTTAGTTAATCTAAAACTGGATGTTATTTTGTGAATATATATGACTGCCACAAGGCTAAAAGTGTAAGGAAGCTGTGCAAAGTAATGGAAATTGGAGACGGGAAATCATGCAACAGCAAACACAACTACATGTACATGCAATTACAAGCATCTGCCACCATATGTGTTTTAAAAGCACTCTGTTTATAAGTAGCCCCTTTACCTTCCGAAGAATCACTGGCATGAGGTCGTGATGATCGTCTGGGCATGTTAGTGGAGGAACGTCGTGAATTAGCCCACTCTCTACGACGTTGTTGGATCTTATCTTTGACCTGGTACAACATATATTGCATGAGATGTACAATGAGCAGGAGAAACATTTATTAACAACACGCATCAGACAATATAGAGAATAAAAGCATTAAAATAATAATCAAAACAACAGACATGGAATAACAGATAACATATGTAACAAGTGGTCTTTGAAAAGTTAACATTGTTGCTGAAGGAGTTTTAGAAATTCTTATATCCCAGAAAGTGACAAAAAATACTGTATCCTAGCAAGTCAGTGTAAGTATTTGGCTGAATTGACATAAGGAAATGAGGGAAGAATGAAAAAATAAATCACTGAAACAAAAAAATAAATTGTCCCTCAATTTTAGCCACCAGTCAGTCAAAAGCCAATGTAACAAAAAACATGTATATGTATACCATATGCATATGCCTCTCGTTTTTGTACCAATGTCTGAAAAACTGGGTAGGACGCGTGAAAAAAAATTCAATATGGCTACCAGTCGGCCATTTTGAATCAAATCACAAAACAAACTGATGTTCATTGGTAACTCATCATGTGTAACGTTCACACAAAGGTTGAATCAAATTGGCCTAGTCAAGTATGAGAAGTAATTTATTTGAGATTGAAATTTCATGATTAAATGTTATCACAACCTGAAAACAATTGAAGAGAATATGCAACCCATGTTGTCGTACTACAAAATTTAAATAAACTAGAAGAAAGTGCATCCGAAATTGGACACATGAAAAGAAAAAAAAATGACCAAAAAGATGTGTCAGTAACCCCATCATGGATTTTCATGTGTCTATGTATAACAATATGTATTACCAATGTACCTTCAAACTTTGTCAAACCATGTCCCAAAATGTATGCCAGATGAATGAATGCACAGTTTGCATACTAATTGGCATAAAATTTGCATGTTATTTAGCAGGGGGGGGGGGGAGTTGCATGACACAATTGGTTGAAATAATGGTCTTATTTGCATAAATTAATATTCATGAGCAATGAAAAACTAGTCTTTTCAGTAAAATTGTGCCAAAATGCTTTCCGAAAGCATATATGTTACATCTAAATTGATTGATTCTATCGTTACGAGCTGAAATAAATTATCGGAAAAATGATGTAAAGGTATTTTTTTGAGACACGTTTTTGATCGGACTCCAGCTAACTGTTGAAACTTAGCACAGGTTTCCTCTTTACCATGATCATAGCAAGTTACGAAATTAATGGAGAATGCAGAGGCACGTTTATTTTTCACTCTAGTACTATTGCTCAAAATTGCTCAAAATGTTTTCGGTGACTTTTATCAGTGACAAGTTACCTAATTAGTATGCATTTCGAGAAACCAGTGTGTGTACATGCGCAGTTTGAAATGGAATAGTTTTGAACGCAATAAAATCATGCGTAGAACTCGGGCTCCAGCAAGAAATTGTGGCGTCAAACTGATTGTCGGTTGAATTGTTTTGCAATAGACATAATTTTGGAGCCTGTTTTTGTCAAGTTCTGTTGAGGATTATTCTGTAAAGAAATTGCTTAAATTATTTCATCTGTTTGTAAACGGGACGTTGTTGCTTTGACAGTGGGCTACGGATGACTGACGTCGAAACGTTCCATTCAGATCGGATGGCGCCCTCTCGTGCCAATCCCCCCCCTGTTATTTAGCATAATATTCAACTTCAGCTTAGTGTTCTTTTATATTTAGAAATACCAGTAAATCCATAAATATCATGCAAATGATGTACATGTTTTTGGTTTATAATTAAGTCGTCCCACCCCAAAAAACAAACAAACAAACACAAATGTACAGTCACCATGCAAATTGCATTGCGCATGTGCTGTAGTGGATAACAACAAACAAAATGGTGGCTGAAAGTATGCTTCAATGAGAAACTTTTCAAGAGTGTAATTTTACCATTTTCTTATGACCAATAGTAAGTTACTTATATTTTTACAAGCGATATATGGACCCCAGTCTTGATGAGTAATTATTAAATAAGTGTTGTACATTTAATACAAAGTTTAATGCTGTGTCACGGTCCATGAATTGCTCCTATGTTTTCTAATGCCCAACGGTCGAGTTGACACTTCATATTTATGAAAATATTAGTTGGCTTAGGCTGATATATATCTAAATTTCCTAAAACTTTTGTTGCTTCTGATAATTGAACTGAATCTTATCTTGGTGTGAAAGGTTCACAGTAAGCTTGGCCACTTGGCCAGGGAACTAAAGGCCACTTATAGTGTTCATTCTATACAGGGAACTAATGGCCACTTGGCCAGGAAACTAAAGGCCACTTATAGTGTTCATTCTATACAGGGAACTAATGGCCATTTGTAGTGTTCATTCTATACAGGGAACTAATGGCCATTTG